TGTGTGGCTATTTAAATTAATTCTAATTGTAGAATGATACTCAATATGCATGAATGTATATAATGTACATATGTTTAGCAATTTTTGTGTTTGGATAACCATGATTAATTTAAATTTACTTTTACTAAAAAATTTATAACATATATCCCCCCCCCCATTGAAATTTCCTGGGCACGCCACTGATCATAATATGCTTATTATCATTGATTATAAATACTATATAGTATTTATAATCAATGCTATTATTTAGTCGAACGTGTGATGCTATCGAGATACCATAATAGTCATTTTATTTCGTGTAGTACCATGGACATTCAAATATCAAATGTTTTTGAAACGCGCAGAGGAAAACGTTGTTTTAATATTGAAAACTACAAGTGAGTTTCGTATTTTAAAACCAGGTAATCTGTTGTTTAGATGTAAGGAAAATGTTTGAAAACAATATTAAACACTATTTTAAGTTAAGTTTTTAACACTATTTGTGTTAAGGTATTTTTAGTAGAATTTTGCTATAGTTTATGTACGCAAACGAGTCCTACGTTTTGGGTCATTTATCACAGGTATTAAAAATTCGTGTGCGCAATCGAGTTGTACATTTGTACGCAAACGAGTCGCAAAAAAGGTTAAATGTACGCAAACGGGTATCGCCCGATTTTTTGTGTCTATGCAGTGGGTCTGTCCTTTTCACCTCCTAAGATAAATAATAAAACAATAATCCAATAAATCATATAAACGTACTTATAGGCAGGGCCGGGCCGAGGGCCAGGCAAAGTGGGCGCCTGCTAGGGGCGCAAAATATGGAGTAGGAAGGGGGCACAACATTTGATATAATTAAATTTGAAAATCTAGGAAGGGGGTGCAAATAGAATAAAAATTTTATTTTGCCGCTATTGATCGGCCCAGGCCTGCTTATAGGTACAGTGGCGTAATTGGAATGTTGCAATTTGTGCAGTACCTGTRCTCTTGCAATATCAAACCATTTTTAAGGGCTGGCMTGTTGCAAAATAATTATTGTTTCATCACAACTTTAAAAGTATTTAAGTTTGAAGGTCATACGACGTATTTATTAAAGAAAATGTATCAGTAAAATTTTGCAATAATCGACAGTTAAAATTATTTTTCAATATTATGATAAAATGGCTAGGTTACACGGTTATTATACTARATTACCTCATGCACAATATAATAGACATAATTAGAATATTATAATATTTAAAAAAAATGTTGTAACGCCAAAAATGTGAGGATGTGACCCAAAATACGTCGCCATGTAGTTAAAAATTTTAAATCTAAGCTATAAAAGCAGAACGTTTTATAAATTGTTCATAACAAAATAATTTTTAAGATTTTGATAAAATTTTTGAAATTTTAACTTTAAAAAATTGTGAGCTTTTGTACCTCAAATATTTTTCAAGTTATTATAAAAAATTACGAGGAACTTTGTGTTAAATTCTAGCTTTTTGACGCAACAAAAAACTTTTTTTAGGCTATTGACCTAGCTGTGACGTATAGGAGTCTTAATTATAATAAAAAAGATCTTATTTTACCGATAATTATCGAAAAAAATAACTAGAAAATATTTAAAATTTCAAATATAATATAMAAACTCAAAATRAATCAAAATATAAAAAAATGATATCATGCATAGCAAATGATAAAATACACGTAAAAGTATTCATGATTATTAGTTTATGAGTCTCACCAAAAAACAAAATCGATTTTACGTAAAAATGAACGTTTTCCCACTAATTTAAAAAAGTTTTGGGAATATTCAATTTTTCCATCTTAAATGTGAAATCTAGATTAAATTTTCTATGTGAAACAATCCTCAAGATTGAAAATTACGTAATAAAATCTATATACAAAATAAATATATCACAAAAAAAATAATTGTAATATAATGCATTCGTCACTCCACTCAAAATCTAAAAGCTCTGAGGGGATCGACACATACTATATACAACGGAATGGGCGTAGGTATCTACTTGGCCACATTGGAGTCTTATTGTTTTATTTTCATCCTATTGAATACTTATTACTGTTCAGTAGACGCGTAATATCACAAGCTATATTAATTATCCTCTTAATCTGAATAATACTACAAGCAACACTGCAATTATCATCAGGTTCAATTGTTTCATATTTAATATAATTTTCGTCAATACGTAATTGCAACCAAATTTTCTTCCTGTTATATGCAAATTTGACCTTGAAGATTTGATTTCCCATGTAGTAACATTACAAACATTTTAAAAATATTTATTTTTTCACAGCGTTGTTTTGTAATTTCAAAAAATTTAATTAAAAAAATGTATTTTTAAAACGTTAATATTTTTCGATATGATGGATGATGTTTACTGTTGAAGAAATTACCCACAGTAATTCTATATTATACAATATTTTTTGGATTTTATAAGCTCTCAAAATGAAAAATTATCATACAACATTTTGGAAGACCACTAAAAATATTGTTATCCATAATATTTTTGAATGAAATACATTAAACAAAATATTCAATTAAATAATTTATATTGATTTATGAATATAAAACTTTTAATAGCCTATTGATTAAAGGTACTATTTTAAAATTAATATTATTATATAATATGTATAATATGAATACTATACATAAGTAAAATATGTCAAGTGGCCAAAGCTTTGATAGGRTTTGGCACGATGGCCTCCTATACAAGTTAAAATTATTCCTCCCAGCTCCCTACTATCCAATAATCCAATCCTACCTCGATGATCGTACATTTGCAGTTCGGCAGGGCAGTCAATATCCTCCCACTTTTCAATCTCTGCGGTGTTCCACAAGGAAGTGACTTATCACCCGATTTATTTAACATATATACATCAGATACTCCAAAAACAGCAAACACAACCATAGCAACTTATGCAGATGATACAGCTATACTCTCCTCCAATTCAGACCCTATTTTATCTATYTAACTMTCTCCAAAATCACCTCAATTTAATCAACACCTGGGCAACCAAGTGGAAAATTCTAATAAATCCCGATAAATCTTTCCAAGTGTCATTTACACTGCGTAAACACAACCTTCCCTCGCTCCAACTTCAAGGAGTCAAGATTCCTTCATCGAATCAGGTAAAATATTTGGGAATTTTACTAAAAAAATGATTGACATGGAGACCTCATCTAAAGTCCAAACGTAAAATCCTTAACTACCATCTTCATCTACTCAGGCTGATTCTGAAATCCAAACTATCAATACACACAAGTCCACATTGTACAAATCTCTACTCAGACCCATCTGGGCGTACGGTATGCAAATCTGGGGATGTGTCAAACTTTCCCAAAACCGCACTATCCAAGCTTCCCAGTCCATCACTCTCCGGCTAATAGCCTCGGCCCCATGGTACGTAACAAATGAAATCCTACACAATGATTTAAGAATTCCAACAGTTGACCAACAAGCTAAATTATAGTATAACAGATTTCACTCCAAACTGCACTACAACACCATCCCAATCCTTTAGTCACTCACCTAGCATCACGTACTCTTCCTGACAACCCACCACACTGACTTAAAAGAAATTGGTGCCGTGACCTATTAAATTAATGAACAAAAAAATAAATAAATTACTAGAGAGTACCATCGCTGGATGATTTCCCTCATCATGTGTATTTTTATTATGTATATAGTGTTATATCAGTTATCTATTTTACTTATTGTGTCATATAATACAGATTGTAAATTTTCTAATAATAATAAAAAAAAAATATAGGTATGTCATAATTTTTCTGCAGAAATTAAAGATACTTTAAAATATCTTGTGATGTTTACACAATAAACGATTTGATAGCTAGATTGGATATGTTTAGTGCATATAAGAATTAATAGACATAATATTACTTGCATATATGAATAGTAAAATCGTACTGTATTTTTAAGTAATTCAACATAGAAGTTTTATAAAAAAAAAAAAATAATAATAATAAAATAATAGAGTATAATTAACATAAAACTTTAAAACACATATTTTCAAATTCTAG